TATATATTATACATAATTTCAGTATATTTTATACATTTTTTACGAATATTAAAACGTATTATTATCATATACAATTCCGTATATAAATTTCTTATAGGGATTCCAGAAGTATCTCCAGATTTGATGCGATAGGTGATAGCACGCTGCATATGAAGCTGTCCAAGATAATCCATAGGTATTACCAATACTTGTGTCTCTATATAAGTTTCTGCTTCAGGTACATTCATCAAGCATCTAAAAGCTTTTATGTAAACTTCGGTTGAAGAGATCCTTCTTTTAAATCAATAAGTTTTGTATTTTTCATGCTTCGATCAGTCTGGCGTTATTCAATTCTATCATCATAGCTGTAAATTAAGAGACGTTCGACTCGTTCATCATGGGTTTCTGGCATAGACACTAATTTAGCAAATGTTTACTTTCGTTCTACATAATTAAGTCATAAATAAGAAAAGAAAGATGAATAAGCATTCTCTATAATAATATCTGAATCAACACCCTTTTCATTATAGATGCTTTTTTCTTGGTTAGGATTATTAAACAAAATATATGGCATTTCTGGTAGGGCTTTCAAGAGTATTGTAATAAAATGGGAGACTTCATGGGTAGTCGTTGTGTCATTACGATGATATTTGTGAATATTGTGAAAGTCATCTACATTAAGAACAACCAAGTTTTCGATCTGTTAAGATTATATGTATAGTTTAGTTAATTATCAATTAAAAAAAACAACAATACAAGAAACGTTTGATAAATACATTTTCTGATAAAAATCTTCCTACCGTTATTATATGAGCTTCTATATGTCGAGTTTTTTGTCTCGCAATAGTTTCACATCTTACCGTCAAGCCTGCACCAGCCAAGGTCTCTATTGCCGAAGAAGATACTTCAGATGCATTTAGTAAAAGCCCAACCTCTGCCTTAATGCCATTAATAAATTTATTATTAAGTCCTGCTAGAAAATAGCAAAACGAAACCAATCTTTTCTTGTTTTTCTTATTAGTCATATGGTTCTTAGCTTGCGGGTTAGTTCCAACTACTAATTGATCAAAAAAGCCTTTTAATGACGGTTCAGTCTTCTCAAGCATTTTTTTAAACTCTTCTGGATTGAGAATTGGTATTTCATCATATACATGCTGCCTTATATACAACACCCCCACCATTAATTTAATTTTCTTGCTGAAAGAAATCAACTCTAAAGTAAAATTATTATATGAGTTTCACATGTTAATAGTTATTGAATAACAAATAAAAGCTGTTCACTTACCTAGCTTCGCTTTATCGAGCTCGATACATACTTCATGATATGCAAATTTCAGTTTCTAAAATTCAGATTGAGAGTAAATAATATCGCTTTGTAACACATATGACCTATCTTGAAATTTAATTATCCTCTCTTTCGAAATTCGCTCTGGTGGTGGCGGATAATTAAGTGAATTAACATGTTCTGGATCATCATCGGTTTTATATAAGCAATGGCAATACATCCCTACCCCTTGTGGTAGCTCAAAAAATTTGATTAACTATTCTGGAGTCTTTTTGATACTTTTTGTTTCTGTACTATGTCGAGCTGTAGAAATATAAAATTGATGCTTTGGATGCAAACACACATTGTTAGCTTTAGTTATTTTTGCATTTACTATTAGTTTATTGTAATGTTTTCGACACAAAGCCTTACTAACCAAGTTCAGATGTTGACTCGAACTTGGTATCATTAATTTCTCGAATATGATAGATGTACCATGCTGTTCATAATCACAGACGACGTCATCCTGGCCCTCTAAATCACAATGACAAGTCTTTCTTTTTCCTTTTTTCTCACTAGGAACAGCTGGATCTTCATGTTGGGCTTCCTGTATAGACATCTTAGCTTGTGTTTCTTCTTTTCTTTGATATTAAATACCTATTGTAACAAAATAAAATAAACGCTCCTTGGCTAGTTTTTGAATTACCTCACTGTTTCTCGAATTATTTTAACAGTCTATAGGATACAAGATATACTTTAGATTTTTTTTAGTCACAACCTTTGCCAATTCGTCTATGTAACTGCCAATTGGTTTTAAATTTGGTTAATCTGATTTTAATATGTAAAGATTATGTGTGTAACATTTCACTTGGCCATCCAATCAGAGTAAAGCCTGTTATGCTGAGGAAGCTTGGTTCCATCTTATTAAATAAATTAAATTTTAATAGGATTAATTAACTTTTTATTTGATCTAACATATTCTGAATCTAATTATCTGAATTTAAAATTTAAATTTATGCTACTAACGCTAAAATCTATGAAAAATTTTAAACTGAGCGAAATAACTTTAAAATCTTACCAGCAGCACATGTAAGAATAACTGTAAAATGATTTTTTTCATTTTCTGTTCCATGTATATGTATCGTCCTTTCACCCTTTTGATTAATTGTAAAGTTTCCTGCCATATCGAACCAAACAGGTATTTCATTCATATTAAAGATATCACGCATTTCAAAAGACTTTTCCATCCTGAGATTATTGACAAATTTATTAAAACTCTTTAACAATTCTTCAGTTTGTTTAGGAAGTTTCTGTGATATTTTTGTGCGTCGACACAAAATCAATACATATCTTTTCAAAAATAAGCATAACTATCTAAGTGATGCTTTAAAATTATCTATTGAATCATAAAATGCTATTATACTTGGCTCTCTCAAAATTTCTTTCATTTTATTTTGTATAGTTAAATAAGTCACAGCCAGTCCTTTCTTTCGTTGCTCTATAATCCAGTTGTATAATACTTTTCAGTTTCAGGATATAGGGCTTTTTGATCAGAACCAATTTTCTTTCTTTTATCGCTTGTCTCAGTTATCCAATTCACACTTGCTTTAACCCAACGTCTAACCATGCTGACATTAAGGTTAAAGTGATTTGCTGTTACAGTTTTGCTATATTTTTTTGCATAATTAACAACTTCTCTTTTTGTTTTAATAGAATAAGAAGTTCGTTTAACCTTCTTATGTTTAACAGCTTTTTGTGGCATTATTTGTCTTATGAAAATAGCGTGAAAATTATGCAAGTTTAATGAGAAGATAATTATTATCTTGTATAATGTTTATACAATAGATCAAATGATCATTAGATAAAGATTTAGTGTAGTTTAATAAAATAAGCTGTAGATTTCGAAAAAAAAGTTGTACCTGAAAATAAGCAACTTTATAATAAAAAAAGGTTGCTTATTTTTGGGCAAATATGGTATATGTTGTTTATTTTCTAATCCAAAATCAATTTTAATTTCAAGCTTATTTTTAATAAATTTTGGCATTAATTTTTAGTAGATGATAAAAAAAAATATATTAAAATATAATAAATATATAATATAATATAATATAATATTATTTAGTCATAGTTTTAAACAATTCCTTCTAATAAGCAATAATATCATCTTTTTCATAACCATTAATATACATTGTTTTTAATTATCAGATTACTATTCTTTTGCTATAATAATATAAATTTGTATTTATTAGCTTATAATTAATAAAAATTATAATATAATAAATAAGTTTTACCTAATTTTAGTTTTTTTTTATCAATAGAAGGCTAGTAACATAATCATAAAAGTTATTAAGTTATATTAAATTTAGATGTCTTAGATATAATGCAACGTTTAATTAAATACCTTTATTATCAATAATATTGCTTTCTTTAAAATGTTTATCATAATTAATTTTAAAAACATCTATATAATTAATAAATGCTTTAGATTAACTTTTAATATAACAAAAAAAACCATTTTTCTCATTTAAAATGATTTGTAATAATTTGATTTGTTTCTAACTTTACATGTTCTTTGTCAACTATTATAGATAATACTGAATAGCTTTAAGTTACAATTTATACCCTAAAGTTAAATGCTTATCTTTAATTTTTAATTTATTTTCAATAATTGTGAAATATCTTATAAATGCATTTATTAAAATCAGAATAGAGATTACAATCAAGATCATATTTAGAATTTTTATTAGATTTCCAAAATCACCATTAGAATCACTATTAGAATAATCATCAAAAATACCATAAAGATCATTATCATTATCATCAACAGAATCTCTATCTGATAATATTTGATAAATTGTTTGTCTGTTTTTTTTTGATCTTTAATACTTTAAGCTTTCTTTGGTATTTAGTTATGGTTTTATTAATATCATCATGAACTTTTTTTTTTTGCTACACTTTGATAATGTTATCTGTCTTTTTAATCGTCCCATTAGAAATTTTAAAAAACGATCTTTTTTTAAAAAAAATGTACAGGCTAAACTTATATGTAGATCAGGCTACATTATTGAATTTCGGCATAATTCTGGCCAGAATTATATGTTTCAAATTATATCTTTTCTTAATAAAATATCCAAACTTCATGGGCTAATAATTTTTGAACTAGTTATCCAATTTATCCAATTGAAACAATCTTAACATTAAGTTGTAGGTCTAGTTAATACCTATCAAACAATGTTAAGACTAAAAATTTTATATTGAAAATTTTTTTTTTTATATAAAAAAATACGTCAAATTGTTCAATGACATTAAATGTAACCGACGATCATCAAACTCGTTTTCTTTATATTAAAGCATGATTTTGCTAATTTTCTTTTTCGAAAATGGCCACTTCACCTGAAGTACTCACGTTGTTTGAGAATTTAAACAAGCGCCATTTAGAATTAGAAAATAATGTTACCCGTTTGAAAAATGTAATAGTCTTACCTATTCAACAAGGGCTTGCCGCAGAGATTAGAGAAGGGGTAAAGGAATTTGGAAAGTGGATAGAAGTGGGAATTAGTTTTATCATTCCATTGACTTCGATAATCTTTGAAGTAAATTACGAAATAATTTTTTTTTTTATAAAAAAAAACCCTTTTGTATTTATTATAAGTTAGGATGTAAAACAGATAGCAGAAGAACAAGAAAAAGATAAAGATAAACAAGCCATTTTACAAAAGTTACGGAGAAATGAAGACCAATTTAAGCAGTACGTCTATTTAATGTTTTATTTAATATTGAATTATATTATGTTAATTGATTGATTATTTCTAGATTACAATCATCAATTCGTAGAGCTATTTTAGCTTCTAAACAGAATATAGAAAAAGAGGCTAAAATAGAACGCGAAATGTTGTTGGGTCGTGGCGATGGTCGTAATTTAGAAGCATTTGAAATGAGAAGGCGTAATTTAAGGTTAGTGGGTCTTTTCATTATTGATTTTACAATACTTACAATTAAAATTAAAATATTCAATTTATAATTTTTATAGTTCTGAAGATGCTATTTTACATTCTGCAAGCGATGTTACAGAATCATTGCGTCGAACGACGCAATTGATGCAACAAGAGATCGAACGAAGTGCTTATTCAGCAAAAGTACTTGGTAAGGAAGGTCGAATTGAAAAAATAAATAGGAAAAGAAAATATTTGTCATATATAAATCCTTTATCTTTTATCTTTATTTAGACGAATCATCTCGTACGTTAAAGACAACTTTTAATGAATACAGAGGTTTTTCTTCAGTAGTACGCAGCTCAAAACAACTAATCACAAAATTGGAACAAAGTGATTGGACGGATAGATTACTTATTCTTTTTGGTTTATTTGTGTTTGTACTTGTTGTAGTATATATTTTAAAGAAAAGAGTGTGGAATACAGGATTTGGGTGGATATCTTGGTTCGCTTCGTGGTTTATATAAGGACAATTCTCTCAATAATTACAAGAACTTTATAAATTAATATAATTTTTGATTAAATGATAATTCGTGTAACATTTATTACAATGGTAACAACGATAAATAAAATTTTAAAAGCAAAGTAGTTAAGTAACAGGTAATCGAAATTATTGAATTAATTATTATTTTTAAAATATTCTAAAACTTAAATTTTTTTCGGAAATTGGAATTGTCTTTAAAGAATGATAATGAACAATAAATATCATATTGTAAAACTTTCACCACATCCACAACTTTCTTTAACATTAGGGTTGTTGAATACAAATTTGGAGGACAACCTATCTTCTACAAAATCCATTTCGGATCCAAGCATTTTGAAAAGAGATTTAGAATCAATAAGGACTGTTACACCTATAATATCAATATAAAAATGAATTAATATAAAATTATAATTTATTGACTGAAAATTTTTTCTATATACTTACCATCTTGGTTCACAACTTCATCAAATTTTTTTTTTTCCTTGGTATATTCTAAAACATAAGATTGACCTGCACAACCTTTATTCTTAACAGCTACACGAATTAGTTTAGGTTCAGGTCCATCTATTAATTGACGAAGTTGATTCACTGCTGAAGGAGTCTTAATCGTATCAAAGACAGAGATTATTTTAACAATGAAATAAATAAAAAAGAGAAACCAAGCAATAAGTACTATACCAAGGTCATGGCCGCTTTATTCCTCTTCGTTGCCAAGGATCCAGCCGTTTTGAGAGTTGAATTAGCTACTGATCTAAATGCTGACATTTTGATGAAAATAAAGTTACAAACAAAGTAATATAATGTTAAACTTTATCATTTTATTATGGAAAAATGATTAAATTTTCAAATTTTTTTTAATTTGTGATTTGTAAGTTTATAGCAATGACGAAATGACGAACTTGTATCACCTCTAATTTCCGATGATTGTTCATCTGGGAAACCGATCAGATTTTTTTTTACATCTTTTTGCCTTCAGGAAAAAAAAAATGGTAACGGCATAATTTTTATTTAGAATGGTAATTTTAGATTTTAATTAATTGTATTTAATTTAATAAACTAGCCAAATAATAAACGACATACGTTCAAACAAATCAAAAACAAAAACTCTATAATTCACCCTTCTAGTCGTAAAGCTGCTCAACTTCAACGAATTACTTTACGCAAAGACCGTCTAGAAAGAGATAAAGCTCGAAGGATATCTGAAGCTCAGCCAATTGGTTGGTTTTAATTTCAGGCCTTCTTTTTATGTTGAAATTTTTTATCCTAATAATTATGTAATTAATGTCCTTTTTAGTCGAACGGTTATTATGGTTTAGATATGCACTTGATGATGCATTTCCGTGTGCAACAAAAGCTGAAGTTTATGATTTAATAGAATTGTAATAAAAGAGGTTAACTAAAATTCTCATTACTTTAATTTAATATTAATTCATATTTGGTTTGTATAATAGGTACATAGCTCGCAATGATGATGATATATCAAAATTTGATTCACCAAAATCTGTACATAAAACTAAATCATCAAAAAAATTTCTTTTGGATGCTTTGAAATTGAAAGAGAAAAGAGAGTATATGGAAGGGTTTGGTACGTTATAATATTTTGAAAATCTTTAACTTATATATTATGAATAACAAAATCTTATCATTAAAGAAATTCCGAATTTATTGGATCCAAAAAATATCAAGATCTTAAGGTAAAATTTAGTTTATTACATAAAGATGAAATATTTTAAATTTAATAGTTTTTTTTCAATTAGCTGATTTTTTTTGTCTTTATTAACAACTTAGACAATGGGATGGTGATATTAATTCGATGTCAAGAATTAAGACAATAAGAATTGAAGATCCAAACAATATAAATACTTTAAAAACAACAGCTCAAATTCTTGCCAAGAAAGAAAAACAAAACAGGAAATCTAACCAAAATTCATCAAAACATATTATTAATAATTCAACAATGGAAAATGATCAAACTAGTATGAGTGCACAACCGACTATTGACGAACTTGTTAACTCGATTCTTCTTGAAGAGATTCAAGTAAAAATTAAAATATGTGATTAAATCAAATGATTCTTGCGAATTAATAAGATAAATTTATTATAATTTTACTACGTCTCAAAATATTTATTAACAGTTGATAACTGTCTTAATGTTTTAAATAAGTTCATTTTTAATAAAATTATCTATACAACAATTATTTTGAAGTAAATACAATATCAAATTATTTGTATTTTTGAATATAAAATAGTGAACATCACAATAACTTAATGGATTAGATAAAAATGACTATTTTTAGTTTTAAGTTTTCAATTTTCTGAGATTTTTTCATATGTTAATCGAGTATTATCCATTTAAATTTATTACATTGAATTAGAATTAATATAAAATTTCTTAGAATTATATATATTTACTATATTAATTCTTTCTTTATTTTAAATATAAAGAAAAATATAATTTATTAATATTATTACTACAAAAAATATATATATATATTTATTTATTTAACATATAAGTTATTAAAATAAACATCTAAAAATATTTTTAAATAAAATCAAAAATAATAAATAAAATAATAAATAAATAATTTTTTTAAATAGAATAGTAAATAAAAGTTTAAAAATGATCATTATACTTCTAAATATTCTAATTAAAAATGATAGTTTAATATTAAATTAGAAAAGTATTGTAATTAAAGAATAATATAAAAGTTTAAAAAAAAGGACCTGTAATATGAATTATATATGAAAAGAATATAAAAAGATAAAAGATTATATATACTTTATTGATAATAACTAATGTAACCTTATTAAATTTTATATTATTTAAATAAAATTTATTCTATATTAAAATTATAATTTTATAATTATTTCATTTTTATAAATCTTTTTTTATATTATATAATTTATAATAATATTTTTTTTTCAATTTTAAGAATATATAAAATAAGTATATATTTATTTAAAATCATTTCTTTTTAATTCTAAAAAAAAAATTACATTTCTAAACTATTTTAAGACAAATTTAAGTTCAAAATGTTTAAGATTAAACCATTTATTTATAATAAATATATTCATTATTCAAAGCGAAGAGAAGAACTATATATGTTTGTAATGAGGATTCATTAATTAGATAACATAATAATATTTAGTTATCTATGTATCACATTATTTGAATTTTATATTACATTGATTAGAGCTCTGATCAGATTAGGTCAGACATAAAATTGACCTGAATTAAATATACATTTGACTAGCATAAATAAAGTATAAATTTGGTTGATATGTTACACAATTATTTATATGCATTTTAAAATAAAGTTCAATTAAAAATGATCGACCTTTATAAAATTTTTTTTATAAAATAACCAGTGACGAAACTTCGCATATTTGCTCTTTTGAAGCTAACTTTTCATATGGATTCTATGGATCCAAATGGATTCAAATGCCCAGCAAGTTATATAAGAAATATATTTTATATATTTTTACAATATAACAGTTAAATGATTTATTAATTGGAAATTTAATGGATATATTATATTACCAAGTGCTAACTTGTTCAAGTTTTTATTGATTGGAATCTATATATATTACCAAGTACTAATTTGGTTAAGTGCATTTATAAAAGCTACATGTATTTGTTAGCTTTTATTTATTTCTATCTCTTCCACCTTTTCACCATCTTCATTAGAAATATCTTCAATATTTTCACCTTCTTTTTTTTCAGTAGTAAGTATATTTGGACCTTTTTCCAATCATTTAAAAAGGAATTCACATTATTATATATTCTGCATTTATAATATTCTTTACAATAATGATAACTATACTCTAATTTTTGATAGCATTCAAAATAGTATCCATGCCTACAAACTAAAGATGGGAACTGTAATTAATATGTTGCAACTTTTAATGTTGTAACTTACGTTGCAATTAGTTTTAACCTATATATGTTGCAACTTATAATGTTGCAACATATGTTGCAACTAATTTTAGCTTATGTTGCAACATTTTGTAAATTTGAAATCAATTGCTGTACCATCTTTACTACAAACTAAAACTTCATTATCATCAAGTTTTTTTTTACAGTGATTGCAAGCATTTGGCAATGGAAATACACTAGTACTATATCCAGCTGGAAGACATTTTAAGTCAACAATTTCTCCTAAATAGCTAATTTATATTGATTTTTCTTTTCAATTTTACTTTTTCCACAATTTTTAAAGAGCTCATAAAAATAATCTAATAAAAATAGAACTGTTTTTTCTGATAACAAATCTAATATCCAATGGCTTATAAGGATATTCATGTTTTTTTTCAAAAACATTTTTAATTTAACAGTTACAAGATCATACCAATTAGGTAAGCTTGTTTAATAATATTATCTATATTATTATTTGCAAATGTATGAGCTTTTATCTTGCTATGCAATTTTCAACATAGTAATCATTGAAATTTACTAAAAATAATTTTATAGCTTCTGAAAAAGGATGATTTGTATCTTGCTAGTAATAAATATCTGAGAGAAATGCCAATGGTGCTTTATTATAATTGTGTCTTTCCATCGAAGAGCAAATGTCTAAATCTGAAAAATAGTTTCTATATACTCATTAAATGAGCTAGATCAAAAAAAGAACAGCATAGATATCCAAAATTGCTAGAATTACATTATCTAAAAGGTCAATAATCATAAATTATTCAATATTTTAATATTATTAGATCTCTAATTTTACACCATCCACTATATGCTAGATTAAGCAGCAAGCTTATTCTCCATGGTTTGGATTTCTTTGCTAGTATCTTTTTTTTCCAAATACAAAATAAAACAATTTTTGAAAAAAATTATTATATATGGCTTTCTGCTATTTAGAGAAATATGCAAAGGTCCCAAAATTAGAACAAATGAATTTATTTTAGCTGGTATAGAATATTGTGAATTTGGATTATGTAAATTAATTGCTTTGTAAATAAACAATTGATCAGGCCAATCAGCTACCAATGGAGCAACTTTATTAGATAAGTATCTAATATCTTTATCAATATTTAAAATCATCTATAATGCTGTTATATAATTATTTATAAAATGTAAATTTCTTTCTTGAAATCCAATTAATTTTACTCCTTGCATTGATCTTTCTTCTTTTCTTTCTGCAATTGAATTATTATAGCTATGTACTGTAAGTAAATAAATTCAATGTATTAATCAAAAACAAATATTACTTGCATTGATATTTACTGGATTATGTATTGAAAAATAATAGAAATTGGTATATATGCTATAACTTGTTTGCAGATGCATGTAGCTATATGTTTAGTAGTAAACAAAAATATTGTATTGGATTTTCTTTTTTTATGTATATCATAATAATCATCCAAATTATAAATATATAAAAATTATTCTAATAAAATAATCAAGCGAATTCAATAAAAATAATATAACTTTATTTTTTTTTAATTTAATAAAATATAATTTTTTCAAACCAAAAGAATCATATTTAATATAAAAATTATTGATATATACTCACTTGTTTAAAGAAAAATTCCCTAATCTCTATAATATGTTCATTTATAAATTTTTGTTTATAGTTATTAATTGTTACATAACAAGAAGAAAAACCAATGCTATTCATTGTATCAATTGCAGTATGCGATGCTACTGATGCTGATAAATACAATCTAATTTCTAATTTAAAATCATTAACAAATTATTTCGCATTCCAGTCATAATATAGCATAAACTCACAACTAATTTTTTTGCTTTAACTTTATTGTATATAGTTCTATTATCAGGAACTAATGCCTTTACCATTTGATTAAAAAAACCCTGTAAGTATGGATCAGCTTCTTTAATTATTTATTAAAAATGATTAGGATCAAATTCTATGTTACAATTTTTCTGATGCTGATATAAAACTTTTGTGAGTATTGTAATTTGCTCAATAAATGTATAATTTTTTGTTGGCTTTGTAAAAAAAAAAGTACTATTAAAATACATTATAAAATATATAAAATCATTAATATACTTACCATATAGGGCTGCCACAGCAAAAGGTGGTGATACACCAATCACACAATTTCAATAAAATTGCAATTTAAATTATGCAATTAATTTTTGCCAATCATCATAAAAAAATTTGAATTTTTCAAAACTGGTCTTTATAACCTAAGACAAATTTTTGCAAGCAATTATTTGAGTACATTAACCTTTGTTTAATGTATTTATTTTATTTAAATCATAAAATTTGTATAATACATATGCTTAATAAAGTTTATGTAATATTTTGTAAAAAACAATCATTTTAAAAACTTTTTTTTTTTAAGATTTCAAATGTTTGTAAATATAAAAATAATAATAAAAATGTAATAACAATATCAATAATGAAAGAATAAATAAAAAGTAAGCTTATTTGTTCTTAAAAATGTAAAAAATTATAATATTCCTAGTCTAATTTTCTTCTAAACTACTTGGTTTCAGATAAGTAATTTCATGAAATGGCAAATCAACATAAGGTGCAATTTTTTTATGCAATTCCTCTTACCTTTTCAAAGAAAAAGATTTAACACGAATTGTAGAAGGCAGAATATTACAATCAAAAGAAAAGTTGCAAATAGTAGCTTTTTATAATTGTCTTCAAGTCATTCTTTATAAAAAATAACTCTAAAATGCTTTAAAGTAATATAGAAGTGATGATGCTTTTGGATATTAGGTAATTTTTTGAACATTTTGAAAGTAATCTTTAAAATTATAATATTAAAACCCTTCTCTATTTAAATAGCACTGAGAAACATTAAGATAAACTATAGTAAAATGATTAATAACTAAAACTATATTATCTAAAGTATTCACTTTACTTTTTCGATAAAGAATTTTAATCAAACCAAAACAGCTATCACAAATAAATTTAGTGTGTTCAGGTATTATGAAATTTAACTCAACTTCATTATATAATCCACAATCAATCATAAATAAATAAAAATAGTGAATAGTTGTTTTTATTTTGACCTATACAATTATCGCAAGTAATAACTAATTTTTTTCTTCACAATTATATTTCTGAATTGCATGCT